ACCTAGCCCTTTTAATCCTCCACTTCCTGGTGAGGATTCTAATGGCTTCCCAGGGCTGCTGCAAGGGATTAGTGAGATAATGTACAGGTCTGACTTGTTTCTGCACTGGATCCCCGTTTAATGAGTATTACCTAAGTGACTATACTTGTCATAATCTTATTGGTTGTTCACAGTTTTGTCCACCTTGTGATTTCTCATCGGATCAATATTACCTAAGAGACTGTACTTGTAATCTTACTAGTTGACTAGAGTCTGTCCCACCTTGAACACACCTCACCTCGTGGCTTTGTCCCATAAAACACCTGTGAGAAGTTGGCTGAGCCGGTAACCCACTTTCCAGTCCCAGAATTCATTCTTCGATTTAGAGAACACGAACTCGGACTTCGGATCATCTGGCAAGTTTGGGAGTTGCATCTCTTGCCCCCATATCACACTCACATACAGAGAACTGGGACGCTTTATCATACTTCCTCACCTTTTGCACACCAAAGATTGAACCTCTTTTAGAAACGAGAACTCAGAGTATCTGTAGCAAAAAAAAAAGGATTCAAAGTGCTAACTCCCTTCCCTTCTCCCATCTTCCAGCGCCCTTGCCTCCTCCTCCACACTCCCTTCTCACTCGCAGACAGTGTAGTTCCAGGTCTGGGCTCTCTCTGTTCACCAGGGAGCAGTGGGGACCTCTGAGCACCTGCCTCCTAAGAAGTAAAGTAGGAAGGCTGGCATAGGCTCCATCCCCTACTCAAAACCTTACATTCTTTTAATTCAGGAGAAAATGCCCCCAAGAAAGTAGCCCCTTGTCCATCACACATACCAAAACAAAATCCCTCAGGGAAGGCTATCTTCAGAGGGACTACTCCAAGTGGAGTGCTGGGGCTCCCAAAGGCCACAGCAAGATAAAACACCAGGCAAGGAGAGCCATTCTCATAGTGATTCTTTGGAATTTCTGCAAACTTCTAGCCAAGCACAGGGTAACCGTGAGAATAAAAATGAACCACCAAACCAGGCATGGTAGCAAGTACCCTTAATCCCAACACTTGGGAGTCTGAAACAGGAGCACTGAGAGTCCAAGGCCAGCCTAGGCAACATGGCAAGGCTCTCAAACAATCAAAAGGGGGACACCACGAAAATAACCAGCAGATGTCGCTCTCACGAAAAAAATTCAATTGGATAGCAGGGCTTCAATCTCCACTACATGTAAATAAGCTTGTTTTAAAAGTGAAAGTTAATTTTATGATTTTACAAAGGGAAAATGGTTTCTCCCTTTTGCATTTCCTTACAAATATAAAGTGAAGTTACAGCTTAAGGCAGAAGCTAAGCTCTAAGGTTCATACTTTTAAAAATCATGTACAGCTAAAATTCACATTGAGCAAAGACCTTTTAATGGTAATTCCTGGGTTTTTTCCCAATTTTTATTTTACATCAGTGCATGTCTGCAGTGTATGACGACCACATTCCCTTGGGGAGCTGGTACATGTGCAGAACACACCTCAATTCTTTTTTCATGTGCTTCCCCCGCCTCCTCCTACCTCCTGCTGTTCCTGGTCCCCTTCCCATTTACAAAAGATCCATCTCCCTATTCCCTACTATCTGTCATTCATTATATATATTTTGGGTTTCTTGTATAAAAGATATCTATGCTTGTGTATCTGATTTAATTCACTTAAATTACGGTCTCAAGGCACATCTATTCCCCACCATTGTCTCCTTTATCCTTAAGGCACAGCAATAAGTACTCCACTGTCTGTAAACACCACATTTTCTTTATCCACTCATCTGCTGATGGACATACAGGCCACTTCCGAGATCTGGCCATTATGAATTGTGCTGCTATACACATGGGAACAAAGGTATCCCTGTACTATGATGTCCTTAGCTCTTTCGGGGAGATACCTAGAAAGGTAAAATGGAATTTCTAGTTTCAATTTCTTGAGGACTCTCCATACCGATTTCCACAGAGGTCGCACTAGATTATATTCACACCAACAATGTAGAAAGATCCTTTTTCCTCGAAGGCTTGCCAGCATTTGCTATTATATGATTTCTTGATGCCAGCCATTCTTTCTAGAGTAAGATGGAATCTCAGTGTTGCTTTAACTTGCATATCTCCAGCAGCCAGAGATGTTGAATATTTATTGGACATTTGTACTTCTGAGATGTGTCTATTCATTTCTTTGCCCATCTTTTGATTGAGTCTTTTCTTTTAAAAAAATCTAATGTTTTTGATGAGCAAGCAGATGCTTTAAGTTGTCACTCTAACGGAGTACATGGCTTGGGACCTAACCCCCAAAACAAACATAAAATGGACACAAGGTATGTGTAATACAGAGTGGGTACGTAAAACATGTTTCTTATAATAGCTCACTGTTGAATTTATTTAACATAAATAAATTTATTTAACATAAAGGGAGCAGATTGTTTTGCTCCCTTGTGCATAATGCTCAGCTACTGCTTTGTGGCTGCAAAGGGAACCTTTTAAATCCCTTACTGTGAGCACCACTGCTCGCTAGTGCTAACCCTGACCACTCTCCCAATGGACACTGACCACTCAGGGGCCAAAGCCCCCCAGCCAGGCCCCCGGGGGCTCAGAGAAGCCCGAGGAGTCAAGCAGAGTCCCAAATGCTCACTGAGCACTAGAGGGGAGCTCTCCCACAGCAGAAGCCGGAAGGAAGACAGGGTGGTGAAGGCACAGACACGGAGGAGGCCAGGCCACGAAGATCCGGAGGCCCAGCCGGGAAGGACGCTCCCCACAGAGGGAGCGCAGACAGCTGCTGAGCTTCAGCCCCCTGAGGACCGGGAGAGCAGCCAGGCCTCCTCTATGGAGCAGGCTCTGATATAAACAACACATGCTAGCCTCACAGCCGTGTACAGATAACATGTGCTCAGCCTGTGGTGGTAAAAATGTATTTTCTTTATGATAAAAATCTATTTTTAGAAAACATTTTTCATAAGTTTCTCAAAAGGGCTTCACAGGGGAAGCCTGGCACACAGGCTGCATGCTGACGGTAAGGGTCACACCCTAATTTGGACTCTGTTCTCTAAGCTGGGAGCAACTATCCCATGGTTTACTCCACAGCCTGAGCTCCCTCTCATCCATCAAGTCACAGGAAGGTTTTCATAGAGAGAGAATCCAGCCGATCAGAACATTATTTTTTGGGGGAACCTGACACACAGTTCTAAAGTTTTCTGGATGGAAAAGATTTATAGGACTTGTCCTGACAAAGCACATCAAAACTATGGAACTGGGATGGGGTGTGTATACGTTAGCTACAAACTGAGGCTCCAGCTCCAGCACCTCCTCCTTCTACCACATGCCTTTGGCATTCTACCAAAAGCAAAAGTCTCCCTCATTTATCTAGTTATTTCTCATTCTTACTACTTTCAGTGTTCTACATTACAGGGTGTGATCAAAATATACGGTGAATACTTACACTTTTAAAATGCATCACACACAATGTAAAAGAAACACTGCCATTAATCTCACTCAAAACCCTCCGCTCACTTCGATCACATTTGCCCCATCATTCCTCCACTTGTGAAGCCATTTGGGAAGTCCTCTTTCACGAGTGTTTACAAGGTGTGATAAAAATGCTGTGAATGCTGCGGCTGAATGCCACCCAATGGGAAGGTGCCCCAAGTCTGAGCCCGGCCCAGGCAGGCCACTACCCGCGTCCACAGGAGCACAGCCGCTAGGCCCATCACCCGTGGGACTCTAACATGTCCCACCCTCTTGACCAGTGCTCCCTCCCTCACCTAAAGTGCCCAGTATAACCACCAGCACCCTCCTCTCAGTGCCAAAGCCTTCTCGCCCTTCCCATCTGCACCCAGATGGCAATAAACTCATCCCATGTTGCTGAGACTTTGCCTGCCCCGGTGGTCTCAAACTGCCTCAGCCTGACCTTACATTTGGTGGCCCTGGGGCTTGCTGATAAACTGGGGGATGGTGAGAGCCATAGGAAAGCTTCTGGCTTCTGGTCGTCTGTGCTCCTGCAGATGCCACAGGAGTCTGCTTAGCAGGGATCCAACTCCGGGATCTGTCATCCCTCCCTGCCTGTTGTGTTATAAAGAAGAAGAAGAAAAGGGTAGGGGGTATGGTTTCTCACGACTTCTTCCAGCATGACAGGGGACAGCGCCGGCGTCCTGCTGGGAGAGAAGAGAGGAGTGTGTGTGGGGTTGGAGTGGTTTAGTCCTGGAGTGAGGCAGCAGAGGTGTCAGGAGCGTGATGACCTCTGGTCCTTCTCAGGGGTCAGCTGCAGGCCCTCATGGGACAGCAATATAGTGGGCAGTCAGGCTGAGTCGTCTGAATGTCACAGATTGGATCTGTTCCTGGATAAAATCTTTCAAAAACTTTATGGTATAGGGACCAATCAGTAATAGTAGAAAGATTGGGACTAGGGGATGTAACATGGGGAGAAACCAGGACATCTGGCCTGCCTGGAAAAGACTCCTAACCACGGACAGTACCACCTTTTGCCTGTTTTCTGGGCCTGGCACCTTGATCCTGGGGGCTGAAGCTAAGCTGGCAGCAAATATGAGGACCAGGGGTATGCATGTGAGCAAGAAGCGAAGGTGGCAACACACAAGGGAGTCAGGCCGCCAGAGTGGCTAGACAGAGGATCAGGAGAAGGGTGTCAAGGTCAGTTTTGTCAGGGAGAAGTCAGAGGGTTTCCGAGATCCAGTGGAGGAACTGAATCTGGGGAATGGATCTGAGGGTGGGGGAAAGGAGGTGTTCTGCCCAGGGAAGAAGCATTCCAGCAAATAAGCCTGAGGGAGTGAGGGGCTGGTCTGTGCCGGTTCAGCAGGGAATGAGTACAACAACCTTAGGATCCTCGCACATCCTATCCACTAGATCAGCACCATGACTTCTGGCTCCTCTTCAAAGTCAAAACAGCCACAAAAGGTAAATATTTAGAATCAATTCAGGACATCAAGGCAGCCATGACAGCACAATTAAAGATAGTCACAAAAAAGAATTTCCAGAACTCCTTCCCAGGGTAGCAAAAATGACGGTATCAGTATGTCTGAAGCCAAGAGGGAGTATTTGGGGGGGATAACAGCAATGTGTCTTTTACTGTAATAAAAGTTTTAATTAAACATTCACTGTGTTTTTGACACCATGTACACCACAGTTCTTAATTATTGTGCTACTCAAAGTGTCCCAAACTTTGATAACTTTTTTTAAATTCCCACAATTTACTCCCTCCTAGACTCCAGCTTGATCACCAGCCTAGAACCAACCACTCCTTCTGTCTTTCTGCATACTTTTTGTTGTAAGCACCTAGTTTCCTTCTTAATCTCTCCTTCCTTTAAACCACCTAGACTGACAGCTCCCCAACAGCTGCAACTCCACAGAAAGGGACACAGAAGACAAGAACAGGGCAGGTCCTACAGAGTGATCAGCAGCTGAGAGGAAACAAGACACAGCAGAGGAAAGTAAAGATCGCCTTGAAGAAGGAAACCAAGAAGGGCTTCCCAGTGAACCTGACCTTCACAGCAAGGAGAAGTTGAGGAGTGGAGTGGAGTGGCGTCAGCCAGGCCAGGAATACCCAGGCTAAAAGGGGAAACTGAATGGGGGCCAAGAGGTTACAGTGGAAGGAAAGGGGAGGAAAGGGGCAGAAACGAGCTAGAGCGAAGGTAAGAGCCAGGCTATTCCGGTCACAGGCAGACAGAGCATGGGTTTTCTTCTAAATGCTGCGGATAACTACTGAGGAGATGAAAACAAGGGAATAACAGTAATTAATGTCTGAAAAAGAGCAGATGGCCTGCACAGTGGACCCTGAATTGCAGAGGGCACAAGGAAGCGGGGAGGCGGGGCACCGTGGCACACGCCTGTAATCCCAGCACTGAGGTGGTGAAGCGGGAGGATCACTAGTTCCAGGCCAGTCCGGGCAATCTAGAGAGTTCAAAGCCAACCCGGACTACAGGGCATGACGCTGTCTCACTAAAAAAAGAAAAAAGGAAGGAAAAATGGAACACCAGTGGGACGCTCTCCCGAGAGTGTGGGCAGAAGACCTTGGTGGGCAGCTGCAGAGGCGTCTGTGGTGAGGGAAAAAGGAGGCTGGAAATGAGCGGTGTTCCAAAAGCAGTCTCCACAGGACCAGCCAAAGGCCAACAAGTGGCGGCAAAGGAAGACCAAGCTGAAAGGAACGGAACGGGAGAGTCAAGAAGAGGGAATTCTTTTGTTCTAAACAATGCTGTTTTCCCTCCTCGAGTCTATGGGTACATTCTAGGTGTACAGTACAGTTACACTCACCACTGGGATCCTGTACCTTTACGTGACCAGTCTCGGTTCTCATTTTCTCCCCTTGTCCCTGCCCTCCCTTCACCCCTCCTCCCCTCCCCATTTACAAACATTTTATTTCCATTTTTTTCATTTTCTCATATTTTTGTTTTGAATCGACCTTCGAAGCCCTGTTCGCTCCTGAAGTGTTACAGAAGGTCGACATCTCCAGTTGTCACAGCTGAAAGGGAACTGTCCCTAACCGACAAGAGTTCGTTACACATCAGCCTCGCAGCGCCCCAGTGTAACCCATCACCGTGCGACGCCTGTCTCGGTCACATTCAGGACCCACTCTTACAGGAGGAGAGGCTCATTTTGGAGCAGGCTGTAGAAGTTTCGGGCCATCCTCTGACGCTACGGCAGGGCAGCCTGGTAGCGGAGAGGGCAGAACTGGGAGACAGGACGGAGGCGCGGGAAGGGCGGGGCCCTGCAGGCCCCACCCCCGGGACCCCGCCTTCCACAGCCAGGTCCGCGCAGCACCGGACCCTTGAAACCTTCCTCCCCAAAAGCCCACCAACGCTGCAGGAGGCTTGGCAGGTACATCTACATCTAAATCCCAGCGAGGCTTCTGCAAACAGAGAGGCCTCAAATTATCACTTTCCCTGAGCTTGTATACTTCAAACAGAGCACTCTGAACTAGGTTAAAATGTAACCATCTCCTCCATACACCAAAGGAAACCAAACAGGGAAACCTACAGAAGAAAAAAGCTGACTCTCTAAGCTAGTAACTTCACTTTTTACATTTCAAACCTACTTGGCTATATCATTAGACATGGAGCATGTCAGACCTTAATAAATTCATATCTAAGTATGACTTATAAAATCAAACTAGCTTTGCTTTATCTTAGACAAAAAAGAATTCCAAAAGCTCTAAATGGTTTCTATCTTGCAAAGTTGTGAGAAACAAACATCACATATGCTCTTACTACTAAACATGCAAATTGTCCGAAGGTGGACCCAAACGCCCTGCTCTTGGTTCCTGGCTTAGGTCAGGCCTCAGAAAGGTCACTCACCAATGTTCATATTCAAAAATAAAAACAAAACAAAGCCTTTCCTCCCCCCAAAGTAGATCTTAAAATCACTGTCAGCAAATGAATATTTCATAGAACTAGCTGCAGTGTTGGAAACAACTGTACTGGTTCCTTCCTGCTCTATAAAATCCCTCTCGTACAAATGCACTTATAAAAAACAAAACTCTCCCTGGATAGGGATACGTATACAACTAGAGTCCAGCTATAGCCTTGGGAGGCTGAGGCAGGAGGATCACAAGCTGAGGCCAGCCTGGGCAACCAAGCAAGATTTTGTGCCAAAAAATTTCAAATATCTTTAAAAAGTGAACTGGAGATATATATAGCTCAGTGGTAGAACACTTACCTGGCATACTCAAGGCCCTGGCTGGGTTCAATCTCCAGAAAAGAAAGTGGGGGAAAAGCAAAATCTATCCCAAATTGCTAACCTAATGAATGGCTGCACCTTAAGCGTACGAGACAGAGTGAAGTGTCAGAGCTGTACACAGCAGTGAGGTACCATCTTACGCAAGGACACGGAAGCTCACCAACGGCCAAGGAACTCAGAGTTAGCCACAGGTCGGCAAGAGACAGCCCTCCGCCCGCGTGTGCTCACTTTCAGTCCACCTCCTCCTTTTCTCCCACATTCCCGGCTTGGAAAAGACACAACAAATCTGGAATTCAGGTGTCCAGGTGGTGCCAAGGCTGACAGCTGATTCACTGTCCTACTTGAGAGTGGACACAGTGAGTCCCTGTATCCAGCAATGGCGGAGAATTCCAACTGTGTGTACACCCTTCCAGCAGGAACCTAAACGTGCTAGATGCAGGAGCTGCCTTGAGGAATGAACTAAAAAGAGTCAAGAGGAGAAAAAGCATAATCCATATGAACCACACCCTGCTTAGACGCTCTTGCTATGTAGCTCCACTGGCCTTGAACTCACAATCTTCCTGCCTCAGCCTCCCAGTGCTGGGATTACTGGTGTGCACATCCGGAAACAGATTATTCTTATGGGCAGGAGTACTTCACAAAGCCCTCCAGCCAACCACTGACCCAAATGCGCACTGTTCTCCAGTCTTGCTTGCTGGTCCCTAACACTTACACTTTATTCTCGTCATCACAGAACAGGTGCAATTTTTTATTTCTTATTATATAACAGATATAGATTGTTATTTCTTATCACTAGGAGATTTTATTTTCTCCTAGAGATACCTGAACTAAGGTGAGAAGGAAAAGAGCACAGGGATTATTCTAGGGTCATGAAAATGTTCCTGTTGGATGGTGGTGATGGCTACACAACTCTGCAAACTGAAAATCATTAAACAGGTTGCAGGGAGGGCAGGGAGATGGGAAAAAAATAAGAATCAAGATGGATCATGTAAAGGTTCAGATTTCCAACTGTGAATGGCATTATATACTGTATACCTTAAATGTACCAATACATTCTTTTTTAAAAATAAAACAAAATTGTTAAATAATTAAACAGCATGAACTCAGGCCAGGGTGCAGCTCAGTGGTGCAGCACTTGCCTAGCAGGCGTTGGGCTCAGAGTCATCCCTAGAACTAGAAAAACAAACAGGGAGTAGGGGGATGCCAGACTTCATGGTCTTTAAACCACACTTCAATAAAGCTGGAGTTTTGTAAATATACTGAGATAACTCTGGTGGACTATGAAAGTAAATTCTCTCTAGAGAATGTGAAAAATCGCAGTGTTATAAAGTACTATACGGAGTTCCTTCACTGCGCTGTCTCTAAGGGGAAGAAGGACCACCCTTTCTTGCTGGACAGGGCTACAGCCTATCCCAGGAAGATGCCACAGCACGAATGCCAAGGAGGGGCAGCCAGAGACACTAAACAGTTTCTGAGCACCTGGAAGGGATGAAATGAAGCAAAATCTGGGAAGGGCAGAGGACTGGTGTCTGCAGGTCTTGATGATGAAAAGGACTGCCCCAGTGAGAAAACCACAGGGAGAGGAGTCGGGAGTAACAGAGACGGGCTAAGAAGGGAAACCACAAGCACTTCAGAATGGCCGATGTGAAGGTCCACATGAGGAACTCACCCCACACCTGCCAAGTAAGAGCCGAAGGGTGCAGGAGTCGGGGATGCGCACCTTAACCAGCCACTCGCTCCCAGCCAGTGAATGCTGCGCACGCTGAAGTGTGACAGCCACTGAGCTAGACCCTGAGCAGGGTCCTGTATGTGTGCCAACCAAGGCTGCTCATTACCCCCAAAACAATGAGAAGCTGAGGACAAGGCAGGAATGGCTCACACTTCAGAAAGAGCAGCCCAGCTCAGCACAGGGCTCTGCCACAGAGCAAGATCCCAGTGTCCTCCCCAGAGCCGGGAGGACCTGCACACAGTCGCCTCCCTCGCCTTCTCAGTTTAAAATGTGCCCCCAGAGTGGATGCATTGGCAACCTAATCCCCAGTGCGACAGTGTGGAGAGGTGGTTTCTGAAGTGGTAATGACATAACCGAAGAGGGATGACATCACCCCAGGAGTGAGTTGGTCATCACAGAAGCGGTTCCTGACAACAGCGGGCTCAGCTCTTTCAGCCCTCGTGTACACGCTCTCACCATGCAATGCCTCATAATGCACGGCAAGAAGATCCTCCCCAGATGCAGCGCCTTGATCTTAAGTGTCCCTGCCATCTCCTAGAAGGATTAAATCGGTTATGCATAAGTTACCCAGTCTCGGATATTCGGTAAGAGCAGCACAAAATGCACTAATCCAGAAACCAAACAAATATGCCCCGACAAGTCATGGAAATCCTGTAAAAACACCGACACCAGTGAAGAGCGAGGAACACACACAAAAATGTTTAGAGAAACCAGTGGCTGTAACATATGTGTTATAGACAAAATGTCATTTCCAGACTATTTTCACCGCCACTTCTCTTGCTGGTAAATATTAAAGCACCAGCTGTAGAAGGGGCTGGAACAGATGGCCCTTCGGGTCTCTCGTGTTACATGGTTTCCTCTCTCCAGGCAGGAAAGGACAGGTGCTGGGGCTGTAGATTCAGCACTGACACGGTCGGTTGCCTGGGTGCTCGCCTGGGAGGAAACTGCATCTGTCCCACAGGACTCACCCAGGGTAGGAGGACTGCTATGCAGTGCCAGGGACAGGGCTACCTTCTTTACAGGGCTGGAGAAGCAGTACCGAGAGGCTTAAAAACTGCGCTAACAGCCAGAATTTAGCCCCATATGCCAAGTCGCTTCCAGTCCTTCAATCTTCACAGTGACCCCACGAAGTCGGTTCTATTGTCTCCACTTTGCAGACAAAGAAACTAACACAGAATAAGTATGATCCAAATCTCTGAAGGAGAAGCAAGGGAACAAACCCAAAACACTCAATGGGATGTGTCAAACAGACTTCTATTTTTCCTGGATTTTGATACCTATACAAGTACTCTATTAAGGAAATAAGCAAACTGAATAAGGCTTACAACCCATAATAAGCAAACTTATATATACCTCTAGAAATCACCTTCTCAAGGGTTAGCGAATGACAGAGGACAGGCTATGTCCCCACTGTTCAACTGTCCCAGGTGGTGCAGAAGCAGCCACAGCAGCACCTGAATGAGCGGGCAGGACTGTGCTTCAACACACTGACAAAGGCAGGGGTGCATACTGGCCTTCCAGGAGTTTTCAGCCCCTCGTTAGTGGAAAGGACTCTGCACGTGGCCTCTCACCCTGACTCCGAGCTTAGGCCAGCTCAGTGACCTTGGGCTGTCACTTCCTTTCTGTTTCTGAGTTGTAAACCCCTACAGAAGTTCCTTCTTGGCCAGGTGTGGTCACACATGCCTGTAATCCCAGCACTTGGGAGGATGAGACAGGAGGACTGCTGTGAGTTCAAGGCCAGCCTGTGCTATATACTTAGATCCTGTCTCAAAAAAACAGAAAGGAAAAATAAGTTTCCTCTCAGTCTGCAAAAAGTTAAAATAAAACTCTATTTGCGCCAAAACATTAGCTACAGACTCTCCATTGACTCTGTGAATAAAGCAGTGGTGACAATACTAAAGCCTAAGGGACACAAGAACTAGCATTTTAGGAGTACTTCCATGTGCCCAGTGCTCTAGGAAGCAGTGTGACATCCTCCTTCGGAAGCCAGGCCTTGAACCCAGCTGGCTGCCCCTCCAGTTGGTGCTGCCCTCTCTGCCAGGGGTGGCAAGCACCTGATCTACGTTCCCCACAGATGGTGCGCACAAGGCTTCTGGGAGGGAATCTGCAGCCAGGCCTGCCCCTTCCTCTCCTCAGGACTCACTCTCTCCTCATCTTATCTTACCTGACTCCTCTCAAAACAAACACGCTGCACTTAGCCTGAAAAAATAATGTGAGACCCTGAAGTTTGTTACTTTTTAGTTCTGGGTGGAAAGACTGCGTTGGACAAGACCGGGACTCCCTGACGTGCAGAACACCACGGCCTGAGGAAGCCGGGCAGGAGGAAAGGAAGGCCGCGCACAGCCTCAGAGAACCAGCGAGCGGACGGAAGCCTGTGGGATTCCTCCGCTGTGCCTGACCACGTCTTCTTCCC